ACTACTCCATGCTTACCTTAAACTGTTTTCGTTTTAATCATCACTATGATTGACCTATATTTTGATGCAGAACGTGTATAATTACTACTAGGCACGCCTCATTCAAATATCGCATATTCGGATAAAGTTGTTTTGCATTTAATGATTTCTATTCGATAAATTTTCAATGACTTATAGATGTTGCCATTCCGTAAAGGTTGGAATTCTAATAACACGACGTACAATCAACCGAAGAACTGGAGCTCAGATCAATATTCTTGAAAATCTGGAGAATTTTATAAATTTATGATATTTACCAAATTTATATACTCGGAAGGAAAGATTTCCATATACATATATATATTTAAAGTAGAATCTACTGGAACAAGTAGATACACCTCGAAGTCATGAATTAATTTTCGCTTGCTTGGAACTTTTGATAATGTACATACATTACAAATTCAAATTGTTTACTTCAATTATCTATATGTCACATATGCATAATGTTAATATGAGCTAACTGAATATCGTTCAGAATAATTGAATTCAAGACTAACTATATAAACCTATTTTACAGTATTTATATTACAACTTAAATATTATATTTTAATATTTTACCTATATTTATATGTAATTCTCACTGAATAATTAAATAATTTATATGAGTATATAACATCTTAAAATTCTCAATGATTAATTTGACTGGTGATTTAGTCTATTGTGTTTGATCTAAAAATTAAATATGCAGGATCTGATAATAATATATGGGATAAATATTTTAATCAGAAAGGGCTGTTGTATGGAATAATCTTTGATTTTATAAACATAATCACCTGATTCTACAAAAATTACGAATTATTGTTTTGCAGCATAATTGAATGTTTATAAATTTGGCAATTCAATTACTAACTTGAAAAGTTAAATTTGTTTTGAGGCATTTATTTCTAATAAATTAATCTGCTCTTGGTAAATTTATATCTTATTATGTGAAAAGTTTACTTGTATCGAGGTGGAACACATCAAATTTAATTTGAAGCGTGCCTGAACCAGAAATCTGAAAAATTGTCAGTATTTGAAAGAATCATATAATGTTATAACGATAAAAGTTCAAATTTATATTAAAAAAGGCATAAGAAAATTAGAATATATTTCAATAATTTGAACTTTGACTTTTGTAAATATATTTTGTAAATCTATCAATTGAAGAGAACAACCTTGAATTACATCCACAATTAAGTAATGACATTTTGCTTGGCTTTTCACTCATTATTAATAATGCAAAATAACTTCTACAAAATGAATAAATTCACCAATCATTAACCAGCTATTTAACAATCAAACACTTCATTGTGATAAAAAGTATTAGATATTTACGTTGATGATGTATAAAATCGATTACGTAAGTTCTTTTATAATATATAAAATATTTTCGAACATATTAAGTTAAGTATCAGAATAACAACAATGTATTTTAAACAAAAATATTTTTTGTGACTTATTCAATAATCAATAATAAGCTATTATTGATAAAAACGTATTACATACGTTGATGTAAAAAAGTCGAATACGCAAGTTCTATTATGCCAAATAAAATATTCTTGAATGTGTTAAATAAAAGCACAGGGATAATAACAACAATGTAATTTAAAGAGAAATAAATTTTATATCTTATTATATTATTTAGGACCTCAAATTGCTGTTGGCAAGCGCCGTCTCTTTGCTCAATTGTTTATTTAGACAGCAAAACCTGCGACCATATGACTCGGGTTCAAATTAATACCCCTCTGTTTAATAAATAGAACAAGCTTGTACAAACAAGAGCTGAACACACAATATGTAAACTATGAAAAAGATAAAAAGTAAGCCTTCACATAAGAGGTTTTCCGGTGTCATCCAAAGATTTTCTTACGAATGTACTCTTACTAAAAACAATATTTTTGCTTTAATATTTGTATGTAGCAAAAAATAAATAGTTTAGTGAGAACTTTATGTAGTAAACAATTATTCAATCCACCTAATGCCCATGCATATAAATTGTATAAAAAGTTACATTATAACAGTGGCTTAACTAAAAACAAGTTTTTTTTATGCTATTGAAATAAAGTTATTAATTATTCAATTTATTCCTTCGTATGAATCCAAACTATTTATTTATTAACTTCCCTAGGGTAAGTCATTGTAATCGTCCAAAAATCGAAATTGAAAATTTTTACATTTCTTCACGTTTTGAACATTTTAACATACCTCAATCAGAAAAAATCGATGTGTGCGTATATGTGTGTGTATATGTATGTATGGATACCATTTTTCGAGCACGTTTTCGGGCGCATGCTTCAACCGATTTGAATCGTCCAAAAAATATTTAATTTTTAATTAAGGGAAGAAGTGGTGATTAGTGTTTGGCAAAGGCGGGGTTAAGCCGTTTCGGAGATACCGAGCTAAATGTGAAAAAAATGGCAGTTTTTGAGAGAAATAAGCATCCGATTTGAATGATTCAGAAAACTTTCTGCTTGTTTTGACAAAGTAATTGCTTTTGGAAAAAAAATCTCAATTTTTTTTTTTGCATATCGAAAATAATTCAGGTTTTAGTTTTAATTCCGGCTAAAGTTCTAAAGCTCACTTATATACTTTAAATTAATAATTTTAACTTTGTAATTCAGTTTATATAATTCTTATAAATATTATACAATGTTACAGTATTTATAATAATCTGACTGAAAACATTTAATATTCCTCGAAAATTTTCTTACGGTACGGGAAGTACTAGCAATTTGCCTTAAGCCACTTTATTTAATGCGGCTACATATAGTTAATTTTATATCGTAACAAAATAATAATAAACAATGCATGTAATATTACCTATTATGAAAGTTTAGAATTTTTGAAATTTGAGCTTTTCATAAACTGCGAAAGAATATAATATTGCACACAATACTGCAATACTACTATACTATATGCTAATGTATTCATTTGTATAAACTATTGATATATTATTAACAATCCTCTCGTATTTCGTGTTGAATATGGTAATTCAATAACTCCCTGAAGAAATTTTCGCCAGAAAATCCGATTTGCTGAACTTATGTTTTCTCGACATTTAAGTCATTCTAAATCTTATGATATCAAAATTAGAGTATGTGTGTGTATGTGAGCCAAAGTTTGACCGTTACTCTACATTTTCTCGAAAAGTGCTGAACACATTTAAAAACTATAAAAGGCATTCGATGAATCTCGATAAAGACTCGCATTGATTAGTTTGGCGAGACCATCGTTTTTTTAAGAATTTGCAGAAAACTGCAAAAAAAATTGTCTTGGATTTCGCAAGAAATTCTGAATGATTTTGGATATAAATACCGTTTGTTGAAAGGCATTTGTTGGAAATCGTGCAGATTAATTTGTGATAAAGATCGGCCGAACCGTTTCTTCGTAACTAGTGGTTGAATTTTTTTTATTAAGTCCATTATTTACTAATATTGGTAGGTTTTTCCAACATACCTTAAAACAAAATGATGGTAAGTGGCATTTCACAGGACCTAGATGTACATCAGGAGTTCAGGACTTATTTCTAGTTCTTTATGGTAATACGATAAAAGATGAAGCACTAATAAAGTAGGGCATCTAATTTTTCAAAGCCATTCGTTTGAGGATCTATTTAGAAAACCTTCTCCATCGTGCAAAATAATTGAAATTTCTCACTGACTCAAGTATTTTTATTTTGCGTTCTAGAAATAGAAAAGTACAGCCCGCTGATGAGGTTTGCGGGTACTATTTCCTCATGACATATATTTTTTATTAAAATGTTGGATAGATACACTCTGCTGTAAAAGTGTCTCTCTAGCAACATGAAAACAAGCAGCTGATGAACAGTTCCTGATAATATTATCCGTACTATATTAGGACGGCCGGTTCACAATTGTACTTTACTTAGCACATTTTCGAAGAGTATACACATAAAAGAAGAGTATACACATGTATTATAAGGTCTATAGTTTAAAATAAATAAAATAAAATCAATAGATTAAAATGTCTATAAGGTCTATAGTTTAAAATAAATAGATAAAAGAAGAGAATACAGATGTATTATAATGTCTATAGTTTAAATATTTACGTATGATAATAAAAATTACAAATATTTAATTTATTACTAACATTTTTCAAAAATACTTCCTATTTGCCCGTAGATCGAACGTACGTATTTATGCTAGAAAAAATGTAACTCATTTGAATCAAAATTTCAAAACAATAATAAGCAAGAATTTACCAATATTATTAGCTATTAATGTAAACAATTTATAAATTATTGTCACTTAATAAGAACTAAAGTGTACAAAATAGTAATTTGTTATTTACATGAAATTTTAATATTTGTGATTTTTTCATAATATTTAAATTGCAATTGTTGTATGGAATTAAATTTTTATCAAACTTACAAATATTAAATTATAAATTTATATTGAATACGCTTATTTGAAGAATCCCAATGAGATATGACTTATACATGATCAGCTCAATAATAATGATTTTAACAGAAATTTATTATACAGTTCTTTAAGTAGTAGTAATTTAATTCTATTGTCGATTGATTTTAATCAGATTTTTGCAAAAATTTGTTAACGGCGGATGATGCGGTTAATGATAAAACCAAAAATATTAAAACAAAACGTATTTTTTCTTTAACTATTAATGTCATATATAAAAAACAATAGACTACATAAATTTAATATTTCTATGAAGGTTAAGGTTACATATAATATCTATACATATTATTAATTAATTACAGATTTTAATTTTTGTTCAACTCCTGAAAAATCGTATATATAATTTACACCAACTAATAATTATTTTTAAAAAAATTTAAACATTATTGTATTATTCAACTTTAAATATTTAGAATTTTAAATAAAAATTAGTCATTTTCATTTTATGAAATATGTGATTTAAAATTGTGCACGGGCCACACTGGAGCGCTGTAAACATAGTGGTAGTTACATGAAGCACGATCAAATCAAAAATGGCGAAAACGCTAAAACGCATCGTTGTAGTGCTCAAGTGCTCCAAGGTAATTAGCCAGCAGGTGAAGAAATAGTGAGTAAATATCAATCAAAGTGTTTTTTATTAATACTGTTGAACATCAAAATGAGTGTAAAAATTGAAAATATTGAATCGGAAAATCCAAAAATAATACAACCGCAGTACAGCGTCCAAAATGTCTGCCCGCTTCAAACAAGCGCTACTGAAGCGCCTCTATCAGGAGAAAAAGGAAATGATAGTGATAGAAAAGAAGCAAACCAAGTGGGTGCAACAAATGGGAAGAAGAAAAAACATAGACGAGGTAAATGTAAGAGAAAACCTAATAAACCGTATAATAAAACAGCCTGGACCCAACGTAAGAATGTCCAAAAAGAAATGATGAGAGTTCGTAGTGCCCGTGCTAAAATATTAGCCATGGGGCACACATTAGTTCCTTGTAACACAAACCAATTTCTCATGGAAGATCATGATGTACCTCAACCAAGGATTCCATCTGCCAGAACTCGAGACTCTAGCTTTAGTGTCGATTCTGAAGACAACTACTTCATGTCTTTACCTGAAGATGAGGAAGATTTCCTAATAAAAGAATTTTCTAGTGTCTATGAAGATGCTCAATGTGAGAGACTTAATGCTATGACTAAAAATGAACTAATTCAAGAATGTATTCTCATGGAATCTCGTCTAGATCATCTCACTAAAACTATTAGAAATGCAAAATCTGAAAGAATGCACAAACAATCTGGTAATGAGTGTGATGCTGCAACAAGTGAGAAGCTACAAGAGCAGGCCGCTCGCATTCAAGAATTGCTCGCTGAGAATTTAGAACTGAGACGTGAACGAGACTATTTTGCATCTGTTCAAAGAACTATATCTAGCACTAGTACAGACTCTGAAAGTGACAGTTCAATGCACAGTTCTTCCATGAGTTCCCCAAGTAGCTCCTTAGAAGAATCAACTACTGAAGCATCACCAGTTATAAGGAATGGTCTTGTGCAGAGCTCTCCTGATTCCCAAACACGAAGACGATCGTCGTCACTTGAAAATGTTGTATAATTATGCATTTGTTATTTTGTATATGTGATACTCTAAGTCTATTTAAATTGTTGCTAAGAATAATGTGATTTTTCTTAACTTTTTGACATGAAATGTTAAATTTGAAATTTGTATAAACTTAATTGTATATAGTTAAGAAAAGTCATAAATTAGTAATCATTATTAATTTTAAAATATTTTTAGGTTTTAATTAATCCATGCTTGGATGATTATGTATATAAGTATTCATTTGTAAAAAAAAAAATGTTTAAAAAAAATTGTTATTTATTTATCTTTGAAATGATTAATGAAGTATTTTAGATTGACAGATATTTTACTATATGTTTATAGGTATAATTTATGAATGGATACTTATAAAAAGAAATAATATATTTTATGTAAAAATGTGAATAAAATATAATTGATTAAACTTGAGTTTATTTAAAGTTTGAGTTAATTAAGACTTCACAACGGCGCCATCTCGGGTAATTACATTGGATGTTTATTGACTTTTATTACAACTGTCAAGGTCGTCACAATGAAGCACATTTTTAGGTTAAAGTTACTGTCATATATTCCTTGACTTTCTTCTATGAAAGATGTAACAAATTGATACACATATACAAAATCAACAATCAAAATGGTTGTGGGTGCTTTCCCAGTTGTAAAATTAGGTGTTTTGCTGATGAAACAAATCAGCAAACCTATAGCAAATTTTGCCAAAGAACGAGCTAAAAACAGTCCATTTTTTAGAACATACATTTGTATGCCACCTGCACAATGTAAGTGGTATTTATTCTTTCCACAATATTATATTTGTTCAATGAACATCTTTATTATTAATTGTTCCAAATCAACTTAAACATTTTGATTAACTTACTGTTCTAAGATCATGAAGTCATTCCTGGTAAAGTAAAGTTAGTAGACAAAATAAAATTACTTTATTTATTCAGATTACTAAACATCAATTACAATTTGCTCAATGCCGACTTTTCATACTCTAAATACTTTCAAATCTAGTTAGTCAAAAAATATCACAATTTGGTTAATGTTCTTTGAACATTTCTTATAAATCTACTTCTTGGAAATATGAATAAATGAAAATACACGTGGACAGCATATGTAAATAAGGTTTTGTTCAAATCATATTTTACATTTAAAATATCTTATCCAATATGCAATCTCGTTGAGTTCTTATGTAATGCCTGTATCATTATAGCGATTATAGCAATCTTTTGTTTGTAGTTTACAATTGGTGTGAAGTGAAAACGAAAATGTGGATTATGAATTTGGGTAAACCTGTACACATACCTACTTTAAATGAAGCCATGGCCATTGAATTAGGCGCAAATCTTCTGGGAGAAGGAATTATATTCTTTATTGCATCTGCATTGTTGATTCTCGAATATCAGAGGTTGGATTAGTGATATTAATTTACTTAATTACTATGTTTAATAATACATATTTTATTAATAAATTTTATAGACAATCATTGAAAGAAACTGCAAAAGAAGAAGCTCGCGTAGAGCAAGTAGATTCAATGAATAGGCAAATTCGGGAATTGGCTTTTCTTGTAGAGAAACAAGATACTCAATTGCGAGAAGTTGTAAGACTTGTTGCTGATCTAGGTCAGAAATCTCTTTGTATTTTATTTTATATAGAAATTTATTGTTTAATTAGAGGCTATTTAATTTACATACATGAAAATTTTACAGATTCAAGAGTAGTAAAGAAACCAAGTTGGCCTCTGAAGCCAGCTCAAGAAAATATTAGTAATAGTTTAAGTAAAGACATTATTGAAGAATTATCAAACAGTACAGTAACAAATAACTCAATGGTTAACAGAAACAATATGCAAAATAATAAGTCACATAATATAGTAGACAAACCTCTAAATTATTTGGAAAAGGATGTTTGGTGTAAAGACAATAAAGAACAAAATCCAGGAATTATAATAAGAGCACTACAGTACATAGAAAAAGATTTATTTTAAAATAAATTATAGCCTATTTAATATTAATATATTTCAAAATATTTAAGTTAAGTTGTTTTATGTATATATATTTTGTTTGACTTGTGATTATCCTATTTGTTGCAATATTTGAATTGATTACAGATTAACACTGTAAATATTAATAAAAATTGAAAAAATGAGAAAAAGCTACATTTCGAATTGCATGGCCAATAAATATAAACTTAATCTAAAGTCCAGATCCCATTTGTAACAAACGCAAACAATTATAATAAACATCCGTTCGCAGATTTAACAAAAGTGCGGTCGTTTTCCAACTGCCTTCCGTTTTCTTCATTATTCAAAATAGCTTTTAGTTATTATTTTTTTAAGAATTATTTTATGTAAAAATTTTTTAACCAATTTAGAATAGAAATGATAATTTTTTAAAATGAATATAAAATCTTTTAATATTTTTTAGTAAAAGAAACCCTAAAATTGAGCATCAATGCAATATAAAAACAACATTAGATAGAAGCGCACGCATTCTTTAAATGTCAAGCGAGTTGTATCACTCCTAAATTTATTTGAAATATGTTTATGTTAGATTACAAATCATTTATATATTTTTTTAGTTTATCTTAAGATATTTAGTTTTTTTTTATTATATCTTAAGATATAGTTTTAATCCGCGAAATTTAAATTAAACGTAATGTTTACTCATTTCCGTATCGATAAGAACATCACAATATATTTTACGTTTTTATTTACTAATAATAATATTTAATTTTTAAGTATGTGATATATGATTGATTAATCTCATTTTACAGTTATTTTGATAGGTATGTATAAAATATAAATATATAATAATAGTTTTAATTATATATACTACCTTAAATTTTTGTACAATGATAAAGTTTTATTAATTTTTCCTTCCTTTTATTTTGCAAAAATTCTTTTGTATAGTATTGAAACATATTATTTGAATTTGAAATTTTTTTGAGTATTCATCAGGTGATTTACTTAAAATCTAAAATTAACCAAATTTGTGTTAAAAAATAATTGAAAACATAAAAATAAATTTGTTGTAGATGCATCTCTATTAACAGATAAAATTATATTATAATGATACTATTTTAACTACAATATAAATTTAATATATATTAATATATTTGTATTAAATTCAAAATATGTTTACAGAATATATTTAAATTTCACACAAATTAAAATTTTCCGCTATGGCAGTTTTATATAGAATTCAAAAACTTGTGGAAAGGGATTCTAAAGAAATTAGTAGTTTATGGAAAGGTAGTTATACAAAAATATTAATTTAAATAAATGACTGTTATATGTGATTTTTACACATATTGTGTTTCCTAAATATTCTTTTAGTTTTTGCTATAATTTTATGCTCAACAACGGCTGTAACAGCTATGATCTCATACATTGCTCAAGGTAGAATATATGAAGGATTTGGTGGAGTTTGCATTCTTGAAAGTCATATAAAATTTAAAGAAGTTCCTGATGTTATAAGACCTACAAAGTTGTATAATGAATATGATTCATTTTTCGAACAAGGTAAAAATTACATTAATATATATTGTGTGTGAAGTAAAGTAATACTCGTCATACAACCTGTGTCAGTTTCAAATTCAAAGTGTAAATTGATTTATGAATTATTTTTATAATTTAAAATTAAAACTTGTTAAGTTATATTTGTTGCAAAAATTAATATTGTTTTTAGGTTCTTCATATGGTGCAGAAGAAAAGAATGAATCAATTTCCATAAGTACTGCCAATAGAACTAGTAAGCATTTTCAAATCGATATTGCTAAATCTCAATGGGGTCCTGATGATCTATGCCAATTTTGTCAATATGTTCCTGCTATATCTGTAGTTGTTGGCACTTTTTGGGCAACTATGTTTTCAGCTTGCCCTCGAGGTGGAATCAACAGACGAGGGTAATATAGTTTTGTCAATGTACTTTACAACTTTTAGCATTTAACATTTTTCATTATGAGCATTATAAGCTTTACATTCTTTATTCTACAGATTACGTCAGTCTTGGCGTATTGTACCAGCAGCATTTGTATTTTTCTTGACAATTGCTTCTTTTAGTGCCTTAGCTTCTAATAGACTGGAAAAATATTTATTAGCATTTTGCACTGAATTTTCTGCTATTACAAACACCTCTAGGTAAATATACAGGACTTTCTTCACAATAATATATGCTATATGTATATCCTAATCAATTGAATACTTTTTGATGTAAATTTTATTTCATAGTTGCACAGGTGTGATTGACTCTTTTACAATTCATTTTCATGATGACAAGATTCATTGGCCAGTTTTCAAATGGATTGATACATCAATTGTGTGTTTATGGTTATCGACTGGATGCTGGATAACAGCAGCAATTTTGATGTTACTAAGATTCTGTTGTCTAGTAGATTTTCAGATTTCCATCACAACTATTACTAATAATCGACCTAATACATCAGCAGTCAATGAGAATTTACAAGAAGAAAAATCAATCAGAAAATCATTATTAAATAAAAATAATCAAGAAGGTAAATTGTTAGAAAGTGTTATTTTTAAATTATTAATGAAGAAATTCAATTGAATTTTTATTACATTTGGCAAAAACTATATAGTTTATTTCTATAACTCTTTGTCATAATTACTTCATACTGTATATACATATTTCTAAAAAGGAATTTTTTTTTAGGTGATATGATTACATCAGTTTGAACAATCATTAAGAGCCATATTTCAAATAATGCCAATTTTCTTAAATAATTTCAATTTGATAGCTTTAAAGCTCAAACTTGGCGAAAAGTAGTCAATAACATAATATATGCTCAAAACTATAAGGAATAAGCTCATAATTGTTCATTATGCTCCAGAATTCTGCTTTGTCAGAACTATACTAAACTTGTACTTTTAATTCCTAATAGCAATGCATTTTAATATATGTATTTATTTTTATATTTTATACAACATGACTCATTCCAAAAGTGCTTGTTTTTGTGAAATGTATGTAATACCAATTATATATAATAGAAACAGTAAGACTTATTATTAATTATAATTAATTTCTGTAATATAGTTTATTTATTTTACAATTATATCTAGCATGAGACACAGTAAATTTAATACTAATCATCAGTTGAAGACTGTGTAAATCTATACAGTATAAAATCGTTCATTCAATAAATATATTATAATATTTATTGAATGAACGATTTTATACTTTTATACTATTATACATAGATAAAAGAAGTACTATATATAGTCATTAGTAGTTTTTTTCTTTTTGTATTTTATTAAACAATTTTTACATTTCTTAACGTTTTGAAGATTTCTGAACATTTTGGCATACCTCAGAAAAAATGAATTTGTGTGTGTGTGTATGTATGGATACAATTTTTCGTCCACGTTTTCGAGCGCACGGATCAACCGATTTGCATGATTCAAAAAACATTCAATTCGTAATGATGGGGAAAAGTGGTGATTAGTTTTTCGCAATGGTAGGTTCAGCTGTTTCGGAAATACCGAGCTAAATGTGCAAAAAATTGCAGTTTTTTTAGAGAAATGAGCATCCGATTTGAAGGATTCAAAAAACTTTTTGCTTGATATCGAAAACTTTCTTCTTTTTGAATATCGAAAATAAATCGAATTTTAATTCTTTTTCTAGAAAGTTCTAATCTAAAGCTAACTTTACATACTTCAAATAATTAAATTTAACTTTGCACTTCTGTTTATATAATTCTTATAAATATTAGACATTCTTCATTCTAATTCGGTTGATTGAGTTTTGTTTATTTAGTTTTCTGTAAACATATATAAGTTACAGTATTTGAAAAAATAATCTATTTGAAACCATTTAATAATCCTCGAATATTTCATTACGGTACGGAAAGTTCCAGTAATTTGCCTTAAGGCACGATGCCATCCATCATTAGTTATTAGTTTGTTCTGTATATTTTTTATATTTAGAGTAGTTCAATTCTTATTTGTAATAAAAAGTGAAGAAAGATATAAAAGTTACTTATCCTTTCGGTTTACCTAGTCAATGGCCACTGCCACACACATGAGCGAATATTTGACAGCTTAAACTTATTTAATTTGGAGTAGTTTATTTTAATATTTCGAAATATTTCTATATCTCAAATAATTTAGTATTTTTGTGATATTACTTGACATAAATAGAATAATTACAGATTTGATATTTAATAGAACATTTGTGCAAAATTAAATAATGGTAAACATGGTTAATTAATTATTTAAATATAAGTCGTGTAAAACATATATAAACTGTTATCTACTCTAATTTGTTAACTATCTTGAACATACATCAATATACATATATTGATATTATATTTAAAATGATTGTTGTTGGTTAAAGATGACTGATAATAGAGCAACTGGCCCATTAGATCATGGAGGTTTGCAACAAACTCTTCCTACAAAGATATTTGTGCAAAGAGATTATAGTGATGGAACCTCTGTAAAATTTCAAACTAGGTTTCCTCCAGAACTGGAAAATAGGGTAATTATCCTAACCAAAGGCTTTCATTTCGTATGAGTTTTATTGTTTTCTCATATCCGTTTGTTATTTGCGAATCTTGTTGGTTTTAAAGGGTGTATAATTACGATGTTATTATGATAAGAACTGTAATTTAATTATGATAATAATGGCAATAGGTAATACTTTTAAAAGGAGATTCACAATTTGATAATTCTTTTATTTCTATTTCTATACACTTCTCTGTTTTGTGTTTAAATAGGCGGCTTTGAATAAATATATAAATTAAAAAACAGTTGTAGTTATTTATAAGCACAAAAAATTATTACAAAAAGTAAATAATTTTGATATTAAAGCTGTATTTTTAATCACTTAGTAATCCATGAAATCTATTTCATTTTTAGATTGATAGGCAAGCTTTTGAACATACGATTAATCAATTAAATTTGTATTTTGCTGAAGCTGAAAAAGCAGCTTGTAGTACATATTGCGAAGGATGTCTTGCTTGTTTAACTGCCTATCTAATATATATTTGCACTGAGACGCATTATGAAAAAGTATGTATATAAATAACATAGTGTCTTACTAACTAGATATGTCAGATCATGAAGCAAATAAATGACATTCTACTTATCTTTTATAGTGTCTTCGGAAAATATCTAAGTTTATAGCATCACAAAATGAAAGAGTTTATATTCCAAGAGGTTTACTACTTACAGATCCGACACAAAGAGGCTTGCGTGTAATTGAAATTTCATTTCTTGATAGACAGGGTCCTACGTGACTGACAATCTCACATTCAACAGAAGAATTTTTTATGTAAACAATGTATTTTTAATATATAATTCAAGACTTTTGAGATTATGTATATTCTTCTATCTATATTGAAACTTAATATAAGTTGGCTTATGTAGCACATAATGCATTTATATGAAATAATTATCACAAAGAGTTGCCGAAGATGTATATACTATTAAATGGTAGGTGGTGTTAGTTTTGTCTGAATTATATATTCATAGATAAAGGACTTGTGCTATATTTTAAGGCAATAAGCAATTTTGTACCAGAGTTCATTTTCATGTATGTATTTAAATTTACAGATTTTTTAATATTTATATCTTTTGTAATAACTATTTATAAACCCATTAATTTAATAAATGAAGGCAAATTAAAGTTTCCTTTGTATTTATAAATTATTCAACTATAAAATAAATAATTTCTATCTATACTTGTTTGTTGTTTAACTTTTTGCCCCACCTTATGCAGTTAGAGCTTACAGAAAAAAATGCCATAATTATAATTAATCTATTGGTGATTGGTGCATATATATATATATATATATATATATATATATATATATATATATATATATTAGTGTGTATGCGTGCGTGTACATGTATATAAAATGCGTGTGTGTATATATAATTTAATTGTAGTATTATATTAATTATAAAATAAAAATTTAATAATTGCATTGTACTTGTATTACTAAAATCAGTAATATTCTAAGCTCTATTGATTTTTTAATACAAGTGTGTGTAGACTCTTAAAGACATGCGCGGGAGTACCGCTCAAAAGATACGTTGTTGCTCATTTCTGAAACCTATTGTTCTGCAAAAAACATTGAAAATATGTGACAAATATTATAATTAATCTCGAAATAATTATATTATGTAACTAAGTTGTGAAGTGAAGAAGTGCGTACAGTTATTCGTGCTATTTTGCATCGCGCTTACGCTGATAAATATATACAATCAGGTATCATATTTTATATTAAAATGCAATAAAATATTTGTCTAGTACAATTTCTGTTTTGTTTATTTCGATTATATGATATAAACTTTATCTATATTAAGTTCTTCATAATAATGTTTTTATTATATTACATATATATTACTTTACTTATATTGTACCTCATGTTTATAATTCTAAAATAATTGTTAATTTTTACTTTCAGCAGTCATCATGTAAATATAGAATTGAGTCCAGAAATCGCATAATATATTTAATAAAAACGTAAAATCATTGCCAAAAATGGAGCGACATATCAGCTTATCATCCCACGATGCATTTGCATTTTCAAATTTGAGCACAAATCTCTTAGAAAATGCGATTAAAAGCAACATTGGATCAATTTATAATGAAACGAGCAATTCTAGCCAGGAAAGCTTTATTATATTTTTAGAAGATTTTAATGATTATTTTTATAATTATAATGATAGCCAAATAACGGCTGAAGCACCATTAGAGGCCAATGGTGATTTTTATGAATATCACTTCTTGAATTGCACTGGAGATGCATTTGCTTTGTATCCGGATCAGGCGCTGAACGAATGCGCTAGAAATACTACTTATTTTGAAGGTGAGTTTTCAAATATGAAATGTGTTAAAATAATAATTTATTAAATGTATTTGTTTTTATGATATAGGAGCAGGTATAGAATACAATTATTGGGCTCTCATATTGATGGTATTTCCATTCTTGACTCTCTTCGGTAATGTGCTGGTGATAATGGCTGTAGCCCGCGAAAGAACTCTTCAAACGGTCACAAATTATTTTATAGTTAGTCTGGCCCTCGCCGATCTTCTCGTGGCTGTTGTCGTTATGCCATTTGCGGTTTATGTTTTGGTAAATATTTGTTTCATATATATTTACATATTTTCAAATTTTCTGTGTTATTTTTTATATCTCCTTTTAGTTTAATGGCACGTGGGGCTTACCACCATTCGTATGCGACTTTTACATAGCGATGGACGTTATATGTTCTACTTCTTCTATTTTCAATTTGGTCGCCATTTCTATCGACAGGTGATCAGAATATCAATTTGTCAAATACATTTTAATACCACCTGTTTGCAGTGTATTAAACCTAGATGATGAGTTATTACTTAATTTATCGAAAATAAAAATATAATACAAAACTTTTTTTAGATATATCGCGGTGACCCAACCAATAAAATATGCGAAGCACAAGAATAATAGACGTGTTTGGTTGACTATACTTTTAGTATGGGCCATCAGCTCAGCTATAGGATCTCCAATTGTTCTTGGGCTAAATAATACACCGGACAGACTACCAGATCTGTGCTTATTCTACAACAGCGATTTTATCATTTATTCATCGTTATCTTCCTTCTATATACCATGCATTATAATGGTGTTCTTGTATTACAATATATTTAAGGTATAAAATCAAAAATAATGCCTAGATAACGATTAATGGATTAGTGATTGGCCTTATAGAATTAATTTGATTAATAGGCTTTGCGTCTAAGAGCATTGAAGCATAGGGCAACAAAAAGACCACATTATAGCGATTTGACGACTGCAACTGTAATAGAAAATGTTTCCCAAACTAGAAAGTTAGCAGAGACTGTTCTAGGTCCATTGACTACTGCAGATGAACGTCCAACAAATACTGCCTCGGGATCTAATGAAGAAGATGACGATCAACTTGAGAGGTGCGAATTAAAAAAGTTATCTTGAAAGATTTATTTTTTATTTATTTATAACTATATGAGTTTCAGGTCATCAGACGTGGACGATTGTCATATTATAGTTAACGAAAAGAATGCGGAATTTATTCTTGCAACAGTTGTAGAAGAAGCCGGATCGTATGTATATTATTATAACTAAATTTAATACTTTCATATAATGTTTATTACTTTATTCTTGCAGAGTTGTGACTAAATTGGCCACTCCGTCAGTAGCTGACGCTAATGGAAACAATGATTCCGGTTATGCCCCGAGTGGTGTAGAGTATGTATTACATAAAGCCCCTGTCTCCCTTCCTGGAAGCCCAGCACGCAAAGTTCAATTGCCAAGCACTACCGAAAATGTACCTCACCTTAGGTATTTGATTGTTATTACATAATACGCCTATCGTTCGTTAAATTTTCTAAGTAATACCTTTCACTATTTCCATTCTTTTCGTAATTGAGAAAATAGAGCACAACAGCAAAATATTTCTTTACAGTTTTACTTAACAATTCCTTATCTTTTTCTTTAGACCGTCAATTAAAAAGAATGGGCTAAAGCAAGATCTAAAGCACTCAACACGTGGCCATACTAGCGGAGAAGGCAGTGCCGGTTTAGAGAGGAAGTTATCCGCTAAATCTAGTACTGGCAGCAAAAAGGAACGAAAAAGTTCCACTGCATCAAAATTTACGATATATAAAGTGAACAAAGCGTCCCGAAAAAAGAGAGAAAAAAATTCAGCTAAAAAAGAACGAAAAGCTACTAAAACTCTGGCAATTGTGTTGGGTTAGTATATTTTTGCTTTACTTATACTAACTTCAAACACTAATGCTTCATACTTTTTTCGTTTTTTTTAATTCATATCTCTTTTTTAAATGGACGTTTTCCTTTAATTTCAGGCGTGTTTCTTGTCTGTTGGGTACCATTTTTCACATGCAATATAATGGATGCTACATGCACCAAATTAAATCTAGATTGTCAACCAGGAGTGACTGCTTTCATTCTAACAACTTGGCTTGGTTATATGAACAGTTTCGTAAATCCTGTGATATACACAATATTTAATCCTGAGTTCCGTAAAGCTTTTAAGAAGCTAATGAATATCGGTACGTAAATCTGTTTAACTAAATAATTATTAGTACATAGATATATATTCAGATCTTATTATTTGTTAAAAATATGTATATCGTTTATCAAATTATTTATAAAAGTAACAATGTTAGACAAAGTAAATAAAATTGTTATAGAACATTCTGTATTCATTGTAGAAGTTAGTTTCTGTTGCCTAAACATTTAAAATAAAAATCATTTTATATTTTTAACCACAGATTTCCTTTATTGTTTTATAATCTATTATCCATATTTATATTATATATAATCAGTTTATACATTTCTATACTTAGCCAACTATATCTGTAAATTTGAATGTTCATTTTTTTATACAAAAATATATGCACAATATCATTTCCAGGAATCAAAGTATCAAAATATTTGCAATGAAAAAATATTAGTAACATCAAGTACAGAATATATTATTTTTCTTGGATAAAATAAATAATTTTGACCTTTTTTATCAATACATTAAAAAATATTAAATACAATTTATTTGTTAAAACATTCACTTATTAACAGTGATTAAAATAAAATATATATACAATTGATTCTCGTTAAAACCCTTAAAATAAATTTAAAAACATACATTTTTATACAATTTCTGATCCAATATGGAATAGTTATTTTAAAAAATCTAGTTGTTATAAACCACAGCTCGAAATATCTATTAAAGCCTCACTAAGTTCATATATGAAAGGTATACACTATCTAAAATAACTATAAAATATTTGCTAAAAAAAATCTATATCAATCTTTTTCTTTTGGTAATTATATATGAAATTCGAGAATAATGTTATCAAATAATACTAATTTCTGAACATTTGTCAGGCTAGCCATAAACTACATAAATGAGCACTTTCTCTTTTTTTATTATAAACATTTTAGTTAAGAGAAATTTAATTAAATTACCATAACATCACATAAAATCACAATACATTTTATGCTTCAAAAAAGCTTATGTAATTTATGTATGGCCTTTTTATTACAGCTTAATTTTTATAATTTGTTTTACGTGCTAGTTAAAGAAACATAATTATTGATTATTCAGTTATCATTAAAGTTATTAATAGGTCAATACTATTCCACATATAGGTTTTGTACATATAAGAGACAGTCAGTTTAGGCCGTTAGAGGTGATATACCAATTTGTCTTGGATCTGCATTTAAAGGACCGGCTTCCAAATTTTTTATCAATTGCGTTAACCAATGCTTTGTAGACTTATCCTCTTGTAGACATGCAACAAAGGTGGCATCCCGTAACTGATCTGGTAAACATTGTCTTAAGGCTTCACGAGCACTAAAAATTTGAATAAATTACGCATGTGCAATGTGGACATCATAAATCATACACATTAAAATGACATACCGTGGGTTATCAGAAAGCCTCAGGTAACATCTGACTACATGTTTCAAAAGCCTTGCTGATGGATCTTTCGCCAAAGATAAGACCATTTTACCCTAAATTATAATAATTATTTTATAGCATTATCAATTTCAAATCGGAAGATGATCTATGTTTATACTTACAAGAATCATTGCAACATGCGAAAACCTATCATATGTTTGGCAAATATAGGACAAACCGCTTTCATCCAGCAGAATCTTTTGCAAAATGAATGTGGCGACAGTTTTGCTCAATTCTGAACCTGATTCCATGATTCGTAAGCATAAAGGTATGATTTCTGTAGTTAGTAGAAACGTAATAACTTCTTGTTCATCAGTCTAAAATAATTCATTCAATATAGCAAACATATAATATAATAGGTTACTATTTAATAAAATTACCTTTACAAGAGCTCCTATAACACCTAAACTTGTAAGTCTTAAATATTCAAATGGCCGTGTTTTAGATACAGTATGTAAAAATGGGTATAAAAATAAAGGTACATGCGCTTGCAAAAATGCAGATCGGGTTTCTGGATGTGATGCAACACATTGTAGTAATGCCAGTGCATTACATACCCTGCATAAACAATTTGAAGTTGATTATTTAAAAAAATTAATGAAAATTTTAAAATTAAAGCATTTCATACAAACCTATTTGATTGATGAGCGGTTAATGTGGGTGGATTTATAGATGAATATATATTAACAATTTCTTGTAATAATGCTGCTGTTGTACCAAAACTAAAAATATTTTCAGAGTTAATTTTCATAAATAATGTATAATAATTTCAAGTTCATATTCCATGAAATTACATAATTCTCATCTAAAAATTATTGTATTTATATTTTGATTAGAATTATACCTATGCCACAACATTGGAGCCAAATCAGGTACAACTTCTCTTTTTCTACTTAATTCCAGAAGTGCAACTTCTCTGCTTTCAGGATTTGATAATTCCATTATCCATTGATATACCTTAAAATATATGTATATAATAAAATATATACTGATTTAGATTTTAAATTTTTAATAAAATATGGTACAAATGCTCATTACCTTGTCGCGATCAATGGACGTCTGCAAATTAGTGGGGCTTTGCTGCGCACTCATTTTATTAAAAATTATATTCGTAAATATAAATTATCACATGTAATTGAAATATTCACATATATGTGTATTAAACCCTTATGGTTTTCTCATTTCTTTCCACAACAAATATATTTTTATTAATCGAATAGTTTTCAAATGTCACATTCGTCGGGCAGAAGCTTCGTATCACTTCATAATTTCTGCACTCACATGTAAACTTTATGAAATTTATTTATATAGAGCACAAATTACCGGAATTAGATTAGAAATTAACATAAAGATACACAAATTTTGAAAAACTGCTGAAATATTATAAAATTACTAATTTACTACGTATTTTGGAAAACAGAAACAGCATATGCACACAGTGAAGTAGTTGCTAGATTGACTAGAAAATGATGGTGGGGGAGCCGATGACTCAATCGGCTCAATATCATTTACACTATATTTATGAATTACTTTAAATATCCATATTAGTAAATAATTTATGAAATCATAATGATAAAATAGTGGGGCGCATGGCATCGTGCCTTAAGGCAAATTGCTGAAACTTCCCGTACCAAAAATTATTTTTTTTTAAAAGATTAACATTTTTGAAAACAATTTACTTTGAAAAAATTAGATTTTTGAGAAACTATAAATTTTTGACAAAAATTCTTTCTTTTCTTTCAAAAAAAGTCTTTCTGAAGAAAACTTGAAATATTTTGGAAATTCTGAACTTTTTTTCAAAGCAATCGTACTGCTTTAACTGCATAGAGACAAAATATCGAAGCGCGTAAGCGCCGCGCCGCCGTCTAACGGATAAGCATTGGTACGGAACCCAAAGGAATGTAAACAAAATTCATACTTATTGTTAAAATCTCTATAAAAAATATCTGATAATTTGATGTGCATATGTCTAATGATCATTTTTGACCGCCAGATGGCTTTTTTTACTTTTTTTACTAGATCTCCGAAACCGCTAAACCTGCTTTCAGGAAAATTTAATCAGTTCTTCATCTTATTAATACAAGTAAAATGTTTTTTGAATAATTTAAACCGGACACTCCGTTCTCTTAAAAACTGAGTTACCGTTTTTGGCACTTTTTGCCTCATATCTGCGGAACGGCTATACCTGCCTTCGCCAAAAACTAATCAGCACATCTCCTCATCAATACGAATCGAATGTTTTTTTAATTATTCAAATCGCTTCATCGGTGTTCCCGAAATCGTCGACAAAAATTTGTATCCGAACACACATACACACGCACACACATACTTTCATTTTTTCTAAGGTATGCCAAAATATTCAGAAACCTCTGAAACGTAAATTTACCTTAAGATATATAAAAATTTTCATTTGCAATTTTTTGCGATTACTATAACTTACTCCACGGGAAGTTAAGAATTAACTTGCAAAGTAAACAGATTTAAAAATTATTATCAATGTGAACGTAAATAGCTGTAAAATGATATTTTTCCAATGTTTCTTCATATTTAATAATATGTTTTCTGATTATTATAATAAGAATATAATGAATAGTATTATTATAATAATTAAATTATGTTCATAAAATATTTGTTGTCAAAAACATATAATTATCGAAACAGGATACTTTCTCATAAACGAATAAAATAATAAACTAGTGGGGTGGGTGGCATCGTGCCTTAAGGCAAATTGCTGGAACTTTCCGTACCGTAACGAAATGTTCGAGGAATACTGAATGTTTTCAAATAGATTATTATAAATATTGTAACATTGTCTAATATTTATAAGAATTATATAAACTGAATTGCAAAGTTGAAATTATTTGTTTAAAGTATATTAGAACTATAGTCAGAATTAAAAATAAAATCTAAATTATTTTCGATATACAAAAAATTAAAAAAAAAAAATTGAAACAAAATTTTTTTTTTCCAAAATCAATTATTTTATTAAGACAAGCAGAAAGTTTTTTGAATCATTCAAATCAGACGCTTAATTCTCTCAAAAACTGCCATTTTTTTACATATTTAGCTCCGTATCTTCGAAATGGCTGGGCTTGCCTTTGCCAAAAACTAATAGACACTTCTTCCAATCATTACTAATTGAATGTTTTTTAGATCATTCAATTCGGATACTCCGTTCTCTCAAAATTCAATTTCTATTTTCTGCACTCTTTGCTCCGTATCCCCGAAACGGCTGGACCTGCTTTTGCCAAAAACTAATCAGCTCTTTTCCCTATCGATAGGAATCAAATGTTTTTTGAAATATTCAAATCGGTTGATCCGTGCGCCCGAAAACGTGACTGGAAATTTGTATCCATACATACATACACACACATTTAGTAGTATATTTAGTAGTTAAAGCGTAAATGATATTCATATTTCATTCAAAATCGAAAACATAATATTAAAATCTTTATATCCAAGTTCGTTTATATAGTAAAATAAATAAATGGTGCCGACGCGCCCTTACTATTCGAAAATTAGAAACAGATGTTGTTGCCAAGTTTGTCAAAGTGTTCAATGGACGACATTTGACATTTCAAGGTGCGTCCACACCTAACGAACGAACACGAACGAACATGTCGAACAAGAAAATACAAAGAAGAACGAACAGGAACACAAACGAACGCAAAAAATTCCAAACGAACTTGAACAAGCGCTTAAAAGCAGTGAGCGCTTGAATTTTCGTTGTTCGCAGATGTTCCGTGAAACGTCAGTTTTTATTATTGATATGGATGTAAGCTTAATCATACGGCATTTTCACTGGTTTTTGTGTGATTTTTGTTCGTGTATATTTTGTAAATATACTGTAAATAAATTATTCAATTAATTTCACTCAGTTTTTGTATTTAATATTTATATTTGAGTCGTTTTCTTTTCTCAGCATTCATATTTGGAGCAAGCTGAACATTCCAGGCTTGAGCTAACTATACTCAATTTTCATACTCTCATCCTCAACATATATGTTGAATGTCTATGTATGATAACAAGTTTGATATTTACTTGTAAAGACTGCAATCATACTCTTCTTTTATCTATGACTGCAATTTCTTCTTTACTGCAGCTTCTGACATCCCAAACGTTTTGCCTACACTTTCCCAAGCATCGTTTTTTTTTCTAATATTTATAAAAGGGTCTTTAGTCTCCCATATTATAGGAAACTTTTCTATTTCATTTATGAATGATGAAATTACGTCATTTGACCATTCCATAATTTATTCAAATTTTCAAACTGTACACAATAATTAAAAGTAAATATTATTAAAATTTTCAACATTAAATTAATAACATTATTATTAAATTTAAAAAAATTATTATTAAATTATTAAAATTATTAAAACATAAATGTTCGTTTGCGTTCGTTGAGACGTCCACACTGCACATACGAGTTCAAACATGAACGAACAATTCCCTTTGATGTACCGACAAGTTGCGGAACATTGTTCGCCATGTTTGTTTATGTTCGTTCGTGATCGTCGTGGCGTCCACACTATGCTGTTGCCGTTCGTTCTGGTACGTTTTTTTATGTTCGTTCGTGTTCGTTCGTTAGGTGTGGACGCACCTTCAGACATTTGACATAGTTGCGTTGAATTTTTTAATATGCCCTCATACCATTAATAAAAACTGATTAAAAAATGCTTGTGTGAAATATTAAGTGAACGCAGAAAATTGATGTCTGTGTATTATTTGACTTGTAGTACCATGTAAATAATATATTCTGTATATAAATATCGGTTTTACAATATTTTATATTTAAAAAATATCGCTTAAATTAATGTATGAGTTATTCATATAAATAAATTATCAAATATATTAGTTTATTAAAAATCATATTTCATTCTATTATAGAATGTCCAGTACTAATTCGTTAAAGGATTTAGAAATATTATGTGACTTATGCCAGGAAGACTTTAGCAGTGATGAGGAAATAAGTTATCACAAAATCGTTTATCATAATTTTTCTAGTTGCAAATTTTGCCATAATTCGTACGAAAATATAAATGAAAGAAAGAATCATGAAATCCTTGAACACTATCCCTTGATATGTATTTGGTGTAACGAATGCTTCTTAAGCTACAAAGTACTAAATCACCATATTTTAAAAGTACATGGTTGTAAGATTTGTGATTTTTGTACAGAAAAAATATACCCGAAAGAAATATATTTGGAGCATTTATCTCAAAAACATAAAATAACAGCCATTTGTAAGGATAATGAGAAAACTCCACATTTAATATTGGACCCAAAAAACGAAAATCAGTTCTTATGCAAGTTGTGCGATAAACATTTGCCAGTAATATTTTTTTATATGCATTACAAAGATGAACATAACATAAAAAATTATATTTTATTAAATATCATTAATAAAATGGGTATAAAGGAATACATAAAGAATAAATTAGATTACCATGGAACCCAAATTTCAAAGATAATTCCAAATTGTGATGCTGTTGTTGATAGTTGTAAAGTTTCTACTGATAATACATGTAAATTTTGTGGACATCTGTACAGTTTCAAAGCCCCAAGAGAATTTCATGACATTTATTGTTCAGGAAATTTTCATTGCAGTAAATGTAATTCTTCATTTGATAGCATTCACGAAAGAGAAAATCATTTAGGAACTGAACATTTTATTTATTGTCCATTTGGATGCACTAATATGAATTTAACTAAAAACAACCTGAACAACCACTGTATGGATATTCATGGTCTTGTTGTTTGTAAATATTGTGGAATACATATATCTAGTGTTGAGAAATGGTTATATGAACATTTGAAACTTAATCATAATTTTAAAACTATAATATCTGACTATTTTGAAAATACTTTATTTACAATTATTAATGAAGAAGTTACTTGTAGTTTATGTGGTGATATATTAACTAGTTTAATGGACAACTTGGAAAAAGTAATTTATCATTATTTATCTTATCATAAATTAAGTTTGAATAGTATTGGCAATTTATTAATACAAAATCCTTCAATGGAATTCAATCAGACTGTTTGTCAAATTGAAAATATAAAGTTAGAAGCAAATGATGTAGAGATTGAAACAGCAAATAATGAAGGCTGTCTCAAAAGTCTAGAACAAAAAGAAAAAAATTGCTTATGCGAAGAGAAAGTTTCTGATAGTCCGATGAAAGAAGACCAGACAGATGAAAATGAAATAAATGAAAACATATCTGAAAAATCATTTCAATCTAATTTTGATATGATTAGCGATGTTGTTGATTATAAAATAGATGGTTATAATGACATAAATTTTTCTGAGGTCCAATGTATATTTTCTGATACTAGTGATGATGCTATGTCTGATAATGAAACTTTAAA